TGTCCTCTAATAGATCATAGGCGAGAACCAATCAAAATGCGAGAATAACTTGGGTTATTATATAATCTGTGATAGATAGTGAGTAGCGTGGCAGTGTACCCTTGTTAACAAAATGACGGCCGCTTCTTTGCGTTTTCGAGCTATCTGTGAGGAGGATTTATATAAAGTTTTCAACGACGGACTAGTAGATTTATACTAAAACAATTAGATTATCTGACTCTCGATTTCTATGCGTGATAGTTGACTCGGGCTGCGCCGTCGTCAACTATCACGCGATAGAAATCTCGAGCTCAAAATCTAATTGCTTAATAAAATACTCGTTTTAGAATAGAACCACATTATATACCGAATGCATTACATGGTTTTTAGCCGGCTTCTTTCTACTTGTAGTGAGTTGTTTCTCATAGTTACTGTCGGGCGAAGGAACAAACTCGCCTGCATGCGTTACAGAATAAATGAGACTTCTCACAGAGCTTATACAGACCAAACGAATTGTTAGCAATAAAGAGCTGCCCTTATTATACAGGTGGAGTTCATATAAACTGTTACTAGGCAAGCAAAGGTTTTGTGAATTTTGATATATATATATACGTAGTAAAAATGACTGAAATAATCGTATTAAAGGTAAAACTAGTTATGCGAATATTATTCGCTGAGTAGTCTATAGCTATTTGTTATAAGTGAGTGGAGTGGGTGGCTAGCCACCCCCGTTTTGGAGAAGCAAAACAAAAAAATGTGAATATTATGGAAAACGCTCTGGACAGGTATTTTATCGTAATTTCTACTTTGTGGCGTTGCTAGTATTTCTGGTGTAGCAGTTTTCAACATTTTGTGGGCATCCCCCATGGATTGTACAACCCCAAGGTACCAACCACCACCCCCTTCCCCCCTTTTGAAAAACACCTGGATCCTTCCCTGGAAAATATTGCATTCAAGAAGTATAGTTTGTATGAACTGTGGCCTCTACAGTGCCGAAGGAACTATATTTATCCGTAGTGATAAAGCCCTCCGTTATGAACAAAGTTGAAAGGCTGCAATATAACATAGAACTTTGTTTGCCGTTTCCGTCAAAAGACAAATCAAAGGATCGAGATATCGAGAATATAACTCCTGCAAACGTAACCGAATCCGGTCACATAGAGCGTTTGTTGGACCAAAACTGCGGTAAGTCGAGAAGAAAAAGAAAGCCAAATGGACGATTTCCGAGTTTGCTTGTGCCTAGTGCAAAACCGACCATATGAAAATGAGTTTGATTTCCATGAAAATGCACCCGTAGGGGGAACACATTTCGGTAAGAATGGTTTCGCACGAAGACAACTCGGAATGGCCTAAAAGGCTACTCTGATAAAGGGGGGCAAGACTGATACGGACGATAGACGACGGACGAGTTGTTCTGAACGTTACAGAATGTAAACAGGCCAATCTTATTCTCACTATGCGGCGGGGGGAGTCGAACGGTGAACTGAGGGTGGGAGTGTGTAGTTTGTTATGCTACGACTTATGATGCAGTGACTTTCACATGAAGATAGACCGTTTTTACCAATTGATCGTCGTAAAACCAAATGTATTACTCTGGTCCATCCCAAAGGACACAAACAAACCAGTGAACCATCGAAAACTTGAAGGAAATACATGTGGCTGACGTGAAGAAAGGCAAAACGTGTGCGAGCGAGTCGCAATTGGTTTTAGCTTTATCTCTGATTAGGTGAAAAAGTGGCCCGAGATTTATTAGCCAATCGCGTAACAACAACAACAACAACAACAACACTTATTATTTGTATTGCGCCTTTTCTATAAAATATTCAAAAGCGCATCACAACAGTAAGGTAGTAGCAAATGCTAATTACTGCCGACACTCAAGTGAAAGTAGCTCTAATCTTTGCTCAAATAGAGCATGAATGCTTATATTCGTTTTCATTTGCAACCGACAGCCTTCCATGGCTAAATTTATTTAGTAGGACCTAGTTGCACAGCATCCCAAAACGTTATGTCAAGCTAGGTAATTCGATCGTTTCTAATTTTTTTATAGGTATCCGAAGATTCCCAAAGAGTTCTAGTCTGACGATGAACCGAAGAACTTTGGAAGATATCTTAAAAATAGATTGAAACTTAGTGTGCGTTCCTTTGGGATGATCTGGATCAGGATCAGTGATCCAAGATCACTCCGAATTATGGTGCATCAAAGGAACCGATGAATCCGCTATGGTCACGGATTCATCGGCTGCTTTGATGCACCATGAGCTAAGTGATCTTGGATCACTGATCCTGATAATCCCAAAAAACGCACTCTTAGACTGCAGATTGAATCTACCAAACCAATCTATAGAAACGGTGACGAATGTCGGGAAACCAAACTGGAATACGACGGGATACGGCTTTCCAGCGTTACGATTGGCCGGCGGTGTTCGTCGAGACATGAGATAAAAAAATGAGTGACAAATAAAGAAATATTGTGTTTTAATATGGTTATTAGGGTCTCGGCTTCAGAGGTCCTAGTTTCATGGGCTTACACTTAGTTGTCCAGAAAACCATATGCATACTAGCAGGAATAAAACAAGGTATGATCGAGACGTGATTTCAGTGGTACATTAGTACAGAAATTACACTGTTTTCAATTGAACGTTGTCAAACCAAAACCAAAGTAATCACTACAGCCAATCACAACGGGCCTAGAATATCGAGTAAACCAATGAAAACTAGAAGCAGATAAGGCGCGAAAAAACGCTTGTGAGCGAGTCAAGATTAGTTTTCTTGCAGCTTTTGACAGGTTGAGTGGTACGAGTTTTTTAAACCAATCACCAAAGCGTAAAAATTAAACCCAATGCAAACGCGAATGACTTCAACACTCAACTGAAAACCATTCTAACTGAGGCAATGCTTTCTTCGAAGCATACGGTGAATATACCGACTCGTGATGTTATTTTCTTTAAATGGTCGCCAACAGATGCATATGGAAACTCAAAAAATTTATTGGTGGATTAGTCGTGAGAACATTCAACTCTAAAGCATTGTATTGCAAAAAATGAGTCAGAAGTAAGTCCAACATTGTTACAATTTTCAGGTGAGACTGGAAAACGGCAGTAGCTAGTCCACCTCGCTTTTCACTATTTTGGGACGATTTCCGTGACACTAGTAGCTGAAAAAATGTACCTTATATAGCAAAAAAATCATTAACAAAGGTGCTTCACGTTTATACATATAACCTTACAGAAATAGCAAAGGTATTTGTTTCCTGATTATATTAATGACCAATTAAAAGACCAGTTACATCCTTTATTTAGCGGAAGGTGTCGCCAGGCCAGCCGGATATTCTTCAACCTCTGTTCCAAAGTTTGGTGTCTCTGCTAGAATAAATTGTACCTCTGATCTGTCATCTGGTCTGATACCTTCCACACTGTGGCAGTAACCATAGAAAAAATACACGAGTAGACCTGAAACGAAATAAGATTTTAAATTACAAACAAAGCCCGCATCAAAAGGAAAACCATCTTTGACTACCGAGATCATCTTAGCGGCATCAATGAGTAGCGAGGAACATGCTGTATCTTTCGCAATCACCGAGGAGTTTTGGGTACACTATAAAAAGGAAGATTAAAAGTGGGCTTCATACTTTAAAATCATGTTTCTTTGCAGTCATTGAGCTGCAAACCAAGTCAGTAAAAAAAGATGGGAGCGACGTGAATGAGTGAAAAAAAATAACTTGTATCTTGTAAGAAGGACATCCTTGCAGCTTGCACGTACTCAAACGCTTTTCCTTTATGTCTTTAAAATCTGAAATCCTGATGCTCACAAAATACTTCTCAACATTAATATCTGTCACAACATTGTTCTCTGAATTACTGTAATAAAACATCAGAATCGGGTGGTTTTGCCCCCCACGGACGTCTTGTTGACTCCAGCTCTGTCTATGGGGTACCTGATTACCGCACTGAGCATAGCGCTTTGTTTTGGCCTTGCTGGGGAGAAGTACGTGGTACAAATGTAAACAGACGGGCACATGCTAACTCACCTAAAACCATCCAAACGCTGAATCTGATGTAAGTCCATTGATTCAGCATCACCAGCAGTGAAACGTTAAAAAATATTGTAAGAGCAGGAATTATAGGGACTACTGGAACCATGAATGGGAATGTGGCGGAATTTCTGGGCTGCCTGGTGATGTACATCAAAGAAGCGACAATCATTAAACCAAAGATGCAGCAAACGAGAATTGCCCAGGCTTCTCCTCTAGCCAAGTGTACATTGGCACGAGTAAGGCAAACTGTGAAAGTTGTTATGGATAAAGTCAACGCAAATGTGGCAACGCGAACACGAAAGCTTGTTTGTTCATCTGGTTGTGTTGTACCCATTGAAGAATCTTCGTCATTGTTTTGAACCTGGTGATAGCTGACCTCTGGAATAAGTTCGTCTTGGCCTGCAGTTTCCCCAGGACGGCAGCAGATCCATTGCAGCCATTTGTCGGTCTTTTCGTTGGTGGTATCCTTGTCTGTTGTTACACTTTGAATTCCAGGTGTGTAGCGTGTAACTAACACAGCGATTGCTACCATTGTGTACGCTACTAGAGTGCCAATTGACAACATTTCAACCTAAAAAAGAGGTAGACATTTCAACCTGAGAAAAAAATTAAATTGTGAATTTGGCGAAACCATTTGACTGGAAGAATTCAATGCTTTAAATACTATAAAATACACGATATAATAGTGACATCTCTGGTGAATATCTTTTGAAGATCTTCAACGGTCTTTTAAGGGGTCAGTCAGGATATCGTCGAGAATGCTTCCAACGATCTTTCACTTAAGGATCTTTTTAAAGATCTTTAAAGAATCCTTGAAAGATCCTTGTGTCTAAGGATCTTAGGAAGCACTTCGAACACCGCAGTGTAAGATCCTCCAAGATCCTGTGAAGGTTTTCATCAAAGCTTAACATCACATCAAAGTCACGCCATTCTGAGACTTCGCAATTTGTAAGAGCTACCTTTAAAATCTGCTTTTAACTTTAACAAATTTTAACCAACCTCGCTCCCTATTAGTTTGCTCTTTCCATTCCAATAAATAAAATATTTGCCTGCGAATAGAACTTTTTTTGTTTTATCCCTCTGATCTCATTGCTTGTTACAATCACGTAGTATTGCGTGACACAGGATAGGGGTGAAGGAGAAGGACAATGTATTTTGTGAGTGTTGTATTTCCTGGGGTGGGGCAGCATCATAGTTTTCGTTATAATGCTTTTAGCGTTTTGGTTGCCCTCACCTTTACTGGGACAAAATATTTCTAACAGATTGTACATTTTATTTGAATTACGAATTGATTAATTAAATAAAAGCGGCTTTGGGCTTTCCCTAAACCATTTTACTCCAGACGTTTGTGTGAGAGTAAAATTAATGTTGGCCAGTAAACGAGCTCAGTCAATACAGCACTCACTTGTTTATAAGAGAAACCCAGAGGAAAAAACATAATTAGTTTGTTATTTTGAGTTTTCTCGTAGTATTAAAGTAATTTTTTTACCTAACAACATCTTGAGACCCGTCTTTAACTACGAGGTCAGTCCCAAGTCAGTGAAACTCGTACGGGCAAAGTAACATTCCAATTCCCAGCAGGCACAAAATCTGATCAAAATACTTAGGTTGCCAAGATGCAAGAATGTAATCTAACAAGTAATAAACTTACCAACTGCTTGACATCAAATAGCAATGCAAGAATTGCGATCAAAATTCCATTAACCAAAGCTGCACGCACTGGAACTCTCGTCTTCTCGTGCACAT